ACCCATGATCAGACTCTCATTGTTAATTGTTTCCGAGGCTTTGTGATCTATGTGTAAACGTCAGAGAAATCACCATGCAGAACACGTCCGGACGACCTTCGTGGCTGCTACTGGATGGAAACGCCCATGACATCACCAACCAGGGAGACCCCCTGGGACTGAAGCCGCCAACCTCATTGCACCCTCTGAAGACGCTTCCAACTCAAATCTAGAAAATTTCTCAACTGGCTGTTTATAATCCACTCGGATTATCAACCTTTGCTTTTCTTATATTTCCAAAGAGATGTCTCTTATTAAATGACTGATTGCTCCCATCAGCCAGAGACCTGGTTTAGACCTGGTTACAGTACCACGTCCTGAAATGAATCATTCGCATGTTCATCCGGCCCTAAGTGACCATGAGGAGAGGTGATTGCTAATACCTCGTGTTGTGGTTTAACTTTGACAGGTAAACCTGAATCTGATTATAACCCATTGGAGTTGCTTAGTTGGTTAGATCTTGGCTTCTCAGAATCTGCTCTGGGGGGAGGGGGGTTCATTCTTTGGCTACTCTTGTCCTAAGGTTGTGAGATTGACCTCTGTCTCCTCTCAAGTGTTTTAAATGTCCCTTGACGGTCACTCACACATCACATGATGTCCATCGGGATCAGACACCTTGGGGTACTCAATGATCCGACCACCCATGTGCGAGATGGTGATGCACCTGTTGGCAGAGGGGGCCCTGGGAGTCCTCAGCTGGGCTGCGTCATCAGGGGTAGTGACAGGAACGCTGTACCAGCTGCTCACGCTCTCAGTTCACTGAGGGACTGACCCAAAGTGGGGGGGATGTTAAAGTCACCCACCAACAACAGAGCCCAGCCTTAAAAACTCCTTGAGCTGACAAACCCAGTTTTGTCACACAAGCAAAGCTTAATTCAGCTTGCTTGGCAAGACAAGCGAGGCCAACTTGACCTGGGTCATTGCTTGCTTATGCCTCGGAAAATCATAAGCAAGCCTTAATTTTTTCCCCCAAATTGACAGGAGGTCACCACTAACCCCTTTCCTTTCATTTAAGAAAATTCTCATATTGTAAAAAATGCCCAGGAAGAATAGTTGGTCCCCGCCTCCAGGCTCTGGGAGTGCCTGCTTTCTAACATATATGCAAACCGCGCCCCCCTCCCCCCCATCCCCTCCAACCCCGAGCCTCATTCCAGGCTTTGCTTCCAGGGCTCCCGGCGTGCAAACTGTCCTTTGGGTGTGTTCACAATAAACTTCAGTGATTCATCGGTTTAACTTCTGTTTTTTGTTTTTGTTTTTGTTTTTTTACCTCAACTTTGTGGACACAACGAAGCAAGCCTGCTCTCGGGTACAGAGGACAGAGCCACCTCCTTTGCCTTGTAGGCATCAATTCCAGTTACTTAGTGACGAGGCTGAGGTGCAGTGGCCTCCTCCGCTCTCCTCTCTAGTGGCCTGCAAGGTCAAGACCCACTGAGGTAAAGTGAACACCGATCCCAAACGGGAAGAAGTTGTGCAAACTCCGTCTAACACAGAGCTTCGAGGAAGTAGGGGTCCGGGGCAAGTGCCACCCTCGGCATCCCGAGGCCTTCATGGCATCCAGGCACGGGGGGTGGCAAAAGGCATTTTCAGGACTGATGGCTCTGATTGTCGGTGTATTCTGGAAGCCATCAGAATAGCGAGGCATGCCCCTGCTTGCTGTAAGGAATCTTGAGATTGATTTCAAGAAGGCTCAGTCAGGCATGAAGGAAAATATCCATGAAAAGGAACGTTTATGATCTAGGTTTGATAGCAAGTATTTGGTTTTGCATGAATTCCATAAATATCTGCTGGGCCTTTGCTCTGTGCTTTGCTATAAGCCAAGGGCCAAGGGGCCTACTCCCATGACCGGACACACTTCGAGGCGTCTGTGGAACACATCTGGTTAGGCGTTTTTCATTTATTTTGGCGATCATGATTTCTTATTTTCTCAAATAGGTTTCCCAAATCACTATGACTACAGGAAACAAAGCTTCAACTTTCCACACCTTGACGCCTTTGGATTAAATTCATGAAGTCGCAAGCCAAAAGCAGGCTGATGATACTTTGGGCCCATGGAAGACAGCATCATTCGTGAAAATGATCTCATAAAGGAGGCCTCGGCCAGGTTCCCAAATAAGCTACTGGCCCTATGAAAATCCCTAAAACGTCCTGGCTGTCTCCAAATATAGCCTTGTCATCAACACCATTGTACAAGGCGATGAAGGAGAACGCCTCTGGATTTCACAGTCAGCAGAGGTCTTTCAAGTTCTCCTGCAAGCCCCCCGAATTTCTCAGTAGAAAGGTCCCCGCGACGGGCAAGATGGATTTCCCTGCGATCCAACCCACAGCCACGGCTGGAGGCCACTGGAGGCACGTGGGTCTCGTGAGCACGTGCACTCACGTGGAGTCACTGTCTGTGTACATCCTCTTGCATTCTCTTACTGAATATTTTATCCTTGAAACAATTCATTGAAAAATGAACATTATTTTTAACTAAGTTATAATTAACTATGTTCTCTGGAAGGGAAAACCCGCTTCCCCCCACGCTCTGCCCATCAGTCATGGCAGCGGCATCCTTCGGCCTCAGGTCAGGGATCCCGTGTCTCCTCCGCCTCTCCCCCAGGGCTCAGGTCTGTGTTGAAACGATCGGGAAGGCAGAAACAGGGTGGCTGCACCTCACGGCCCTGAGCAACACCCACCCCAAAACCAGGCCATCACCACCCTCTGTGCTCCAAAGCGCTTGTCCTTAAAAAAACCCCTTTGCTCTTTAAACAAAATCACGGTGAGGTGGGCATCAACACAGCATCGAGAACAGACCTGGTGGCTATGGTTTTAGGCAAGGCATGGAGTCCTTTTACTGCTAAAACAGAATTCAGCACTTAGGGAAGTTTTGATGGATGTTTAAACACAACCCCCATTAGTGACACTCAACATTCATAGACATACTTTTTATGGGCCAGGCACTGTCATAAGCACCTTAGAAATAAATATTGGCCTTCGGGGGCCTCCCACCCCTACAGCAGGAGGTGCCATGAAGATATCCGATGTAGAGATGAGGGGCAGAGGTACCCACAGTCCCACAGCCAGGAAGTGCAGGAGACAGGCTCAGAGCTGAGCCAACTGTTTCCAGGAGCTGATCCTCACCACTGTTCCTGCCGTGATGATGACAAATACAGAAAACATCCTCTGCTGTCCAACAAAGCAGGTCTGGGGGGCCCACCAACAACTGAAGACCCTGCACCTCCTGGGACCCAGGGACCTGGTGACTTACTCAAACCTGCCCCGGGTGGACCACAGAGCCTGCATTTCTGAAAGCGAAGTTAAGGATCAGTCTAAGTGCGAAGATAATTATGACTCTGGAATCGTGAAGCGTGGCACCATCCAGGCACCATCCCTGTCTTCTGCATCTACTTTCCAAAGCCAGGGCTGTATATACTTATTTTACAATGAAATGAACAGAAACAGAGCGTGCCGAGGGACCCAGGGAAAAAAAAACTCAAACCTTGCGGATCAGTGTCTTTCCCAGCCAAGGCAGGAGGAAACAAAACCCGGATGCTCCTCTCTAAACATTTGCTTTCCTGGCCCGTTATAAGGCGGACACTTCCACCAAGCCACCGGCGCCCTGACGGGGAGGGGCGTCCCTCCTCCCACACTCAGCAGGTGCCTGGCTGGGCACTGAGGCTGAAAGTATGGACATAATGGGAACCTCTGCAGGGCAAACTTTGTCTCTTGCGAACGTTGGAGGACTTCATACCATCGCTGATCACAATGTAGAAATTCTTGATCCTATCCAGAACACACCGGCAAGGGAGGATCTGGTCAAATGAGCCCGCTTAAAAGTTGAAAGAAAACATGACAAGGACGATGACCAGACAGACATTCTAGAAGAGCATTATTCAAATCTAAAGGATGAAGAAATGCCTTGAGAAACACTTGGAGTGCATTTTGTGAAAACAAACACAAACAAAACTTTTAAAAATGACCATTCTTGACATTATATGAGAAAACTTAAAAAGAAATACGCTATAAAATGCTATCATTCTATTTTGCAGATATTTTCCCAAGCAATTCATTCAACATGCGATTAATTTTTTTATTTTAAGAAAGAACCAAGGAAGAGCCGTAATTATGAACTAAGTCCTTCTTCACTAGAATAGAAAAAAAAACCCCACAATTTTAATCATCTTTATCTTTTAAATAAACCTCAAATATTTTCTCATTATTATGAAATCCTGGTCCACATTTTAAGAGGATTTGCTGTAAGTGGCTTTTCTCCAGTATTGATAATCTTCGGAGAGCAGATGCTCCCGGATCGACCTCAGAAGCATCATGCAGTGACATAGTAGCCCTATTAGAACTCGCGAAATCTGCTGAGCCAGCAGCGGTGACAGCAGGTGGGTTATTCTGTTGTTTCAATTTATTTTCTGTTCTCTCTTTTATTAGGAGATGGAATACTTCTGCGCAATAATTTTCTGTTGGGCGGACTCCTTTAATCACAGCTACGCTGTGCTCAGGAACCGAGGTTCCCACAGCCCCGACTTGGCAACACTGAACCTCACCAAAAATTTTTTTAAAGGGTATGCATCCTTGCCTTTTTCCACACATACACCCAAAGTAAAAATATCATAAATATCATAAACCCTATGTCTCTTCTTGGGCTCTGCAAAAATATACTCGCATTCATGCAACAAGTATCTGTGTATCTACAAAAGAATTCAAAGCTAAAGAAAAATCACATCCTTCTCCAAGTTCGATGACAACTCAAGGTCAAAAGACAGTGATTCCTTTACCCTTGCTTCTTTTGGATTCGGTTTCTGGTCCCCCTTCCCCCGTCCCCTAATCCATAATGTAAGAGGCACTGCTGAGTGCAGAATTCGGCTTCACTGTGAAGCCGGAGGTCCCTGAAGGTAGCGAAACCCCAGGCGTCCAGCCCCACCTCACAGGAAGCACACACAAGACTGCCCGGGGCCACCCTGGGCACCTACCTCAGGATGAAGAGGTCCACGGTGGAATTGCTGGCCATGGTGACATAGGCAGTGACCACGTCTCCTTGTTTGACTGGCCGGGAGGGCAGCCAGATGGCCACGTTGCTGTCCAAACGCAGCTCACTCAGTGCGGGTCTGCTGCCCGTCTGGTAGAGGAAGACGCTCCCGATCCTCTGCAGGTGGGGCACAGCTTCGTCCAGCCCGTCCTTCCCCGGCCGGATGGCGTTGCCCTTCCGGACGTCGCCGGCCGCACAGTCCCCGCGCGCGTCCCCCGGCTGCACGGAGTAGTAGAGCTCCACGGGGCTCCCTTCGGGTGGCCCGGGCGCCTTCTTCCTCCCGGCCACCATGCTGGGGGGCCCGAACCAGGCGGCCAGCAGGTCCAGCTCGGCCACGCACAGCCCCAGGGCCCCCTGCAGCCGGCAGCCGGCCCGCACCTCCCGGGTCTCACGGAAGGCGAACACGCGCAGGCAGGGCAGCCTCTCGCCGGGGCTCTGTGCTGCCCAGTCCCGGCCCAGCACGTGGAACAGCACCTGCACCTTGGGCCGGCTCAGGTACACCTTGTCCCGCAGGATGTGCGCCTTCAGTTTCCAGTTGAGACCGAATTTACTGGTTGGACCTAGAAAGTTTGAAGTGACCATCAGTTCCAGAGGCACGACCTTCTGCACGGAGAAGGGCCCGTAGCTAGCGTTGAGTACCGGGGGCCTCTTGGCCTTGTATGTGAAGAAGGACTCCACCCTGGTGTGCAGGCTGGAGTTGCGCACGACGTCCTGGTTGGTCTCCTTCAGGAAGAAGGAGGTCTCTGCTCCAAGGATATGGTAGCTCACAGGCAGGAAGGGCGGCAGCGAGGAGAACCGCGGCACGTTGTCTGTGACCCCTCGGCCCTCTATCACTTCAGGGGGCAAAGAAAGAAAAGAAAAAGACAAAGATGGGGTTATTGCTGGACTCTGTGGACAGTAGGTCTGTAAGCAATTTAGAAATGAGGAGAATGTTCCGAAGCCCACTTGGCTAGAATTTCCATGGTACTCCTGGGATCAGCCAGTAAAGGACTATAGGCTCTACAAATTATATACTTGTATTAGGTTGAAGCCAATGAAATGTAGATTTTTGCACGTTAGAAATGGTTGAACAGTGACGATTTCATAATGTCACTGAGCAGAAAGCTGGCAAGATACCCATGAGTGTGGAGTTGGGATGTTTATTAATAATTTGCATGAGTTTAAAGCATATTTAATGACACGGGTACATGAATAGAAAAACAAACCAATGGAATGGATGAGTCTGTAAATAAACTCACGTACGCCTGGAAATTTAGCATGTCATAAAGACAGCACCCAAGTCCTGAGGCAAAGAGAGACTTTTTCGTATATGGTTCTAGAACAAATGGCTAGCCACTTGAAACAAAAGATACAATTTAAAAAAAAAAAGACACAATTAGATCCATACCTCACACCATACACAAGAATAAACGTCAAGTGAATCAGTGATCTAGACATAAGGAAATAAAATTTTTCCAGTACTAAAAGAAGACAATGGATGAACGCCTTCATGAACTGGGTGTAGGGAAAGCTTTCTAATTATGACTAAAAATCCAAATGCAATTTTAAAAAAAGTGATAAACTTCCCTATGCAAAAATTTTTAAAAATCTTTTGCATAACAACAAATTCATAAAGTCAAAAGGAAACATGGCACACTGGGAGATACTACAAACTGCTGGCTTAAGGCACGCAATCCAGCCTGGGGATGGGCTCTGTTCGGCCCACAGTATTTTAGAAGATCACTAAGAATGGGAACCACCTTGAACAACTGGGAAGTATCTGGGTCTCCAGCTTCTCTTTACACATGAGAGGACCTGGCAACATTTAGGTGTTATGCCCACCTGGGAACAAGGGGAGAAGTCACTCAGCAGTTCAGTTACCTGCTTGTAACTGTGCAGGTGCATCTGAGTTGGAAAGCTCTGACTGGAATCCACAGCCTGGTAAGCCGTCCTACCCTGGGGGCTGGAGCTCAGCACCGCGATGGGCTTCCATCATCAGGCATCACCCCTGCCTTTCTGCCCTCCTCTGTCCATCACAGACCTGGGCAGCCATACAACCAGCAGGCTCCTTGCTGCCCGAAGGTTCTCCTCTCTAAAGAACCCCTTTGGCTTCCTCTTACGCTGTGGGCGGCTCACTAAGGACTTGCTACACGCACAGGGCAAAGAGGTTAAAGTGCCCAGTGGCTGACTTTGCAAAGCCCCCCCGAAGTCCACGGCTGTGCCCTTGTCTTTGAAAACCAGCCCAGAAACGCAAACGGGCCCCCATTCATACACAGAGAGAGCAGAAAGTTCTCTCTCCTCCAACCGCCCCACACTCCCCTGCTGGCCGTCCTCTGAAGGCAGCAGGTGTGGCCCATCCAGCATATGGGGCGACCTGAGCCTCTCTCCTCTGGAAGCTCCCCTAATCCTTTTCCTGGCAGGGACCCTGGCTAGCAGATCAAAGCTGCCTCCGGTGGTGCTGCAGCCAAATGCGCTTGGGTTGTCAAGATGGCTTTTCAAAGAAACAGCATCCCCCCTTGTTCTCCACCAGAGGCTTTGTTCTGAGGCCCCCGGGAGCAAGGGTACTGGCCCCTCTCTCTTTGAGGGATGTGTCTGCACTTCCATTTTAACCCTCTCATTCCAGGACCAGGTGAAATCACCCTCAAAAGGCCCCACTGGAGAACATCCCAGAAAGAGTACTGGTTCCATGTCCTTAAAAAGGCCATGGATTATTTAAGTGACTTATAATTAAAAACCAAACTAAATTGCCACATCAGATGTTTTGTTCTAGTGTACCCATTCCTCTCCGAAAAGGCTCTTAAACTGTGAAGTGTGGAGATTTAGAGACTGATTTGTTTGGGGACAGAGCGGGGGGCGGGATGGGCTCTCTGAAGGATCTGCAGGAGCAGAGCAGGATGTACCCCAACACAGGAAGCACTGCCAACAAGCTTTCTCCTCATTCTTCACTCTCCCTGTGTGTAGGGACTCCTTTTTTCTACTTTTTTTGGGTTCCCCCCAAAAGCCTAAAATATGAATCTCTTATTTTTTAGTAAATGCTGAGTTTGTTTTCTATAAAATAAAGCTGGAGTGAACTTGCTGTCCAGCTGTCTCCTTTCTCCATTACTTAAGTAGGTCGCTCCTTCTCCCTCTTGTGGAGAAAAAAGTGCCTCGATCTTACCTTCCTGCTGACCCCAGTTCTGATTTTTTCCAGTTCATGAGAGATCTAACATGAGCAAGAAGAGACAAACATGGTGAGGAAGAAAGTGGGTCTAGTATGGTGGTTAAGGGCATGAAGGTTGGTCATGGAGGCATTGAGAGTTGATCTACTCAGCCATCATGGGTTCTTGAGCAAGTTCTTACCTTCTGGGAGTTTTAGTTTCCATGGATGGATGGATGGATGGATGGATGGATGGATGGATGGATGGATGGATAGGTGGGTGGATGGATGGATGGATGGATGGACAGAAGGGTGGATAGAAGGATGGATGGATGGGTGAATGGATGGTTGGATGGGGGGATGGATGGGTGCATAGGTAAACAGACAGATAAATAGGTAGAAAGAGTCAGATATATGGGATATAACAGAAGCCGTGTAGAACAATTAAAAACAGCCCCAATTCTCCTTTTGTATCTACACTTTTGCACGTGGCTCTGCAACCCTCCCTTCAAGAGGAAGAGTCTATTGACCTCCTTGAATCTATGTTGGCCGTATGATTTACTTTGGTCAATGAATACGGCAGAGAGGATCTTAGGGGCAGTGAAAATACTCTGTACAATACCGCCTCAGTGGACATGTGTCTTTATACATTTGTCCAAACCCACAGAGTGTACAACACCAAGAGTGAACTGTAATGTAAACCACGGACTTTGGGTACGTGAGAACTCTCTGTACCTTCCTCTCAATTTTGCTATGAATCTAAAACTGCTCCAAAAAAGAGAAAGTCTTCAAAAAATGAGAATTTATTGAGCATATGCATTCCCATGCCTGCCAGGAACATCTCCCTCCACACACAATGCTCCAGACAATGTCTACTAAACTCAGACATTCAGAGAGTACTCTCATGACATCAGCCAGATATTTATGCATTGCTAATCAATGATTTTTATCAATAACTAATACTTTATTAAATACTTAATCAAATACCAGTGGATTAATGAATACATGCATTTAGATAATCCCCGTATAAATAAAAACACAGGATCCCATGATCCAAATTGTTGCCAGTCTATGGCTCTGAGCCTGACATTTGCCACTTCTTTGTTAAATGGGGAGGTTACTGAGTGTAAGGTGTTCAAGATACAGTGATACCAAAATGAGACTGTTCGGCAGGATGAAATTAGAATAATTCAAACAGAATTGAAAAGGGAATCGCTTTCTCATTTGTGAGACTCGGGTGGCTTCGCCCCATGTCCATGCACCTCAAACACCAACCCCACGGACGCTCATGAGAGCGGCTCGCCCAGGACCTGTGCGCATCGGCACCCTCCCACGCCATGGCTCTGTAATCACCTCGACCCACCTCACGCTCTGGGGAGCCCTGATCCGGGGAGGAAGGAAGCAGAGGTGATTACCCACAGTCCTTGTATTTCTTTCTTTCGTGACACTTTATCTGCTGATTGCCCGGGAGCCATCTCCTGGCTGCTGGGACCCAGTGAGCACAAATATCCACCCTCTCATTCTGGTGCATCCGCTCACACCGAAAGATAGGATTATTCGGTAATTTTTATCGATCTGAAACAATAACCCTGGAAAAGTCTGATGCTGGTTTCCTAAGGCCACGGGAGAGGGAACAGGGGGGCCGTTGACAGATACACCTTTCTATCCGGGCTCCCCGTTGATGGCACGTTCATTTGCTGTCTGCCTCCCTGTTTATCCATTTTCTTTATCTGTGTCGCCTGTCAGTGCTGGGGATATTGTGTCCTCCATCAGGTGTTCGTCAGAGAACTCTGCGGCAGAGCTGTGGCCGGAAATTGAGTTTTTGAGATTCTGAGATAGTGAACACAGGAGAAGTCCGTGTCACTTAGCACCCGGACAGAATAACGTCAGGGGTGGGAAATGACCCTTTCAGCCCACATGACGTGTCACCTTCATCATGATGCTCACTTGTGGATGTGTTGACGGGGGCGGGTTCTTCGGAGCTGGTTCTCTCTGGGCTGGGACATGTGGGTTGGCCAGGCTGGAGAGAGGACCCCAGGAGGGGGCCTGAGCAGGGGATCCCTCCGGGAGAGGCTCGGGGCCTCGGCGTGTGAGGAGCCGGAAGGCGGTCTAGGAGCGTGGGAGGGGGCCAGAGTTTGTTCTGACAGCAGTAAGCACCGGGTGCCCATAGGGTGCGTGGTAAAAATGCAAGGTCCTGCTTTCCTCTTCAATTGTAGAATGTAAAAACAAACACCATGGCGCACGGGCCTTTCAAAGACTATCCAGAGGGGAGGGGTTTGCACTGGATTTGGTTCTACATCCTCATGTTTGATTTTAAAGCACTGAGAGATTTTTTTTTTTTTAAAGGTGCAGATATCTGCTCATTTTACAAACAGGAAAGCAAACACCTAGAAAAGTCCATGTATTTGAACTCTAAGTAAAAAAAAATCACTGGAATCACCCAAATGCATGAGTGGTATTGTCTCAGGTTGTGCAAAGGGTCCTCAACTAAGGGCGATTTTTGCCCCTGAGAGACACCTGGTAACGTCTGGAAACATTTGTGGTTCTCACAGCTGGGGGCTGGGGAAGCTCCCAGCATCGAGAGGCCAGAAGCCAGTGATGCTAACAGGACAGGCCCCTACCACAAACACTTCCAGTCCTAAATGTCGGTGGAGCTGAGCCTGAGAAAGCCTGATCTAACCTGATTCACGTGCAAGGTGTTCATGGTTCATCCAAGGTACAAATGAGACAGAGGAAGGATTTTGGCCACACCCTCTTCAATCCAGGGAGAGGAAAGGTATCCTTGTGGGTTAAGGGCCTTCCTGACGTCAGACAAAATCCAAGGAATCCCTGCTCCACAATGTACTAGATAAAGATTTTGTTGTTGTTGTTGTTTCGTGCGTCTTTTTGCAAATACCTTAAACTTTTGAGCTTTGGCAACCTCATTTCTATAAAGGGAATCCTATCACCACCAAGTCACAGAAGGCAATAAGCAAAGTACCCCTGGATAGAAGGTGCCCAAGTGCTGGGAAGGGTGCTGTTGCTATTATATTATTATCCTTCTCAGTATGATTACTATCACCATTGTTCCAGTCATGCTGATAAGTTAGAGTAGAATGTTTTCAAGGCCACAGAAATGTGCAAAGGAACGGGTGACATCTGTATGAGAAAAGATTCAGGCACCAAGAGCAGTGGGCAGGCCCTTCCACGAGTCTGGGGGGCCAGGGGGCCACGGATGCCTCCCACTGACCCACCTGGTATCAGACACCACCCCCCTCCCCCGGGGGAAACGCCAGCCTCCATTCACCTTAAGGAAAACCCTGATGGGATTTTCCTTCCAAGTTACCATCGCTTATGTGAAATATGAGTCGGCCCAAGTATTCTGAGGTTTTCTCCCCCTCTCCCGGTTGGTGATTTATTAACATTCTCCAGACACAGAATGTCTCTCTCTGCTAAATATGGCGCATTGTTTCTTTTTTCTTGAAACAAAAGGCACCTTGATAAATGGATTATTTTATTTCAATGCCTCTTCTGAACAAGCCCCTGAATATCCTTTCCTGAAATTACATAGTGTGGTTTGCAATTTTGGAAGAGAAACTCTCCTCTAAAAGAGCAGGTACTTATCTCCCCCTCTGAGCTGCTGGGGGGACACCCCCCTTTCTCGGGAAAAACTCCATAATCATCCTCAGGTGTGGCTTAATCGCTACCCCAGCCCCAGCACAGCAAAAGACTTAGGCCTTTCAGAGACAAATTCTCTAAACCACCTGGAATCTCAGACCCTATCAGCATGAGAACAGTGCCTTGGGTATGCACACACGAGGGAAATATTTACCAGGGAGAGCCATAAATCTAAAGTGCAATGTTTTAACCGCCCTGAATTTATATTTCCTGAAGTCGAGTTTGGCAAAGAGCGTGGTAGCTATGTGGCTGATCCCTCCACCCCCATTGTCCCTGGGTGTGGCTTGGACCCCAGGTCCACAGGGGGTTCTGGAGCTCAAGGTGGGGTTCCCTTAAGGGAGGCGCTTCCCGGTGAATGCTGTATTAGTTTCCCATTGCTCCTGGAATAAATGACACAAACTCAGTAACTTAAAACAATGGAAAATATTTTCTTAGAGTTCTGCAGGTCAAAAGTCTGAAATAAAGGTGTGGGCAGGGCTGTGTTCTTTGTGGTGAGTTCAGGAGAGAATGTTTCTTTGCTGTTTCCCCTTTGGAGAGCACCTGCAGTCCTTGTTTCCCTTCCTCCCTCCTCAAAGCCAGCAGCCCACAGCTTCTGTTCACTCTGACCTCCCGCCTCCCTCTCACAGGGATGCTGGTGATTAAATCCCAGCTCAAACCACTTCACACCAGTCAGAAGGGCTGAAATGAACAAGGCAGGAAATGACAGATGTTGGCAGGGATGCCCTTTCTCCAAAGGGGAACCCTCCTACACTGTTGGTGGGAATGCAAGCTGGAGCAGCCACTCTGGAAAACAGTATGGAGGTTCTTCAAAGTTGAAAATAGAGCTACCCTACGATCCAGCAATTGCACTACTGGGTATTTACCCCAAAGATACAAATGTAGGGATCTGAAAGGGGTACCTGCGCCCCAATGTTTAGAGCAGCAATGTCCACAATAGCCAAACTGTGGAAGGAGCCAAGATGTCCATCGACAGATGAATGGATAAAGAAGATGTGGTATATATACACAATGGAAT